TTTATGTTTGCCGATACTGATAGGTAATGCAGCCGTCTCATGGCAATACCTTGCCTACTGCAGAAAAAGTCAAGTAAGCAACAAACAAACAAAAAACATGGATTCCGATGATAGGTTATTAGGATATGGAATAGGTAGCACTCCAAGTTCAAAACATATCTGGTACCTATTAGATCCAATAGGGTCTAATACTAGAAGACATGCAGCGCCGATCGCACGCGAGGCCACCAATGGAAGCTCCTGAAACCCAAAGCCGAGTCGAGGCCGAGAAGACGGACACTCAGTGCACGGGATATCAACGACTGGAACAGTCTGCCCAAGGAGGTTGTGGATACTGAATCCTTTAATCAATTCAAGTCTCGACTAGACACCCACCTACCTGGTATCAGATGGACGATAGACAAGTATCAAATGTGAACGAGCTCGATGGGAACGGTTCTCTACAGGTCATGTGGCCCCCTAATTCCGATCATGTTAAGGCAAGGTAAGGTTCATAGGGTGCATGTGATCACAGGGGAGTGTGCAGTGTGCACAACAAATGGAATGGTTTGGCAATGCAACATGAACAACAGAATAACGCATGAATTATACAAAAGGCGGCCCATGTCTTAGCACACATCGCATGGGAAAATCCGTACCAATTTCCATTGAGCCACCAGCAAAGTGTACTTCGCACCATAGATCTGTGATAGCGTTCGATCAGATAGGCTTAGAGTCAAGAGCGACCCGGTGTTGCGATGCATTGCGATTGAAACACTATAGACATAGGACACATGGAGAGACAAATCACTATGCAATGCATCCCTCACGACTCACGAGAGCCAACGCGATAGCAGAATACGAGAAAAATGATAAGACATAAAATAAGTAAAATTTACAGGGCTACAAAACTGCTATCTCGGATTTTTGAATTTTTTGAGTTTTGACCCCCCAAAATAAAAAAGAATTTTGGATATATTAGCCAAAAAATCCAAAAAATTGAGTTTCGAAAAACCGGAATATGTACGATAGTACCTACCGTCTTCTATCTACATACCAAATTTAAGATCGATATCTCTCTTTTTTTGGCGAAGTTAGAGCGAAAAAAAAACTTCAAAAATGATGACGTCAAATTCTCAAACTCAATTTTTGGCAGTTCTAGACCACGTCCGGCAAAACAAAGACCACCATTAGACTCCCCGTGACGAGCTGCATCGAAGCGATACCCATTTTATGCAAAAATATCAGCTTAAAAAATTGCCCTAATTTGACCTAACCTTGACCTGACCTTCAAAAGAAAGTAACATAAGCTGGCCCCAAAGGCTGCCTGACCCACATAATCGCATTTGTCATGTAAAATGGACCATAAAACATGTATCACACGACACTTTCATATTGTGACCCCCAGTGACCTGACCTCTGTGACCTGACCTGGTATCAGTGACCTCAGATAGCAAAGTATGTGTTTGAAGAACAACTTACCATCGATAATTTCTAATAAATTACAAATTTACTCGATTTCACAACACATTTCTCGAAATGCCTGTGAACGGTGAGAATCCGACCTTTGACCTGGCCTATGACGTCATCGGTTTGACCTAGGTCAATGAAATTTGGTCAAAAGGTAGTTCCCCGGTGGGGCTATCGAACGCCGTTTGAATTTTGAAAATCGACCGGTAAATTTCCGAGATCTTAGGGGGGGGGGTCGAAACGCCCCCCCCCCCCCAACGGATGGTAGGGTCCATCAATAACCCTACGGGACGCGGGTTAACAAGAATCAGTTATGCTTCTATGGAGAAAATCTGCGAGTAGCTAAGTGGCCACAATAAGCGGCTGGATTTATCATCCGAAAATTTATTGAGCGGAACCGTATTTCGTTATCAACAGCTACAGCTTGCATTCGGATCATTATCAAAACTTGGCCCTAAAGCAATGCCATCAACCAGGTCAGGTTAAAGGGATAATGTGGATATTGGATGATGCAAACTTGCGGAAGCCTAGCAACAGCAATCTGAAACTAGGCAGTGCTCAGCGTCGAAAACGAATGATGTGGGCAGGTTGGCCGCAATGTTTTGTATCGTGGTTGCTAGTGGCTAGTTGGTGGCTGACCGCCCACCGCCGACCTCATCGGCGTAACTATTTAAGATGGACGCTTCCCAATACCGGGACAGATTAGTCGCTCTATGCTATTGACATTGGTTGTAGAATCATCGACATAGATACCCAGTAAATTAGCATAGAAATCCGGTGCTGATATTGCAACTGATAAGTTTCGTTTTGCAATGTAACATCAGTGAACACTACGTTGCAACACACCTTCCAGCTCGGTGAACACTTAACACGCTAAGTCCGAGCCTCCGACAGGAGCCCATCCATCATCCAACAAAACGTACCATCACTTATCACACCAACAAACCGTCGTCTGCATCGCCGGTCGGTTCATTTCTCACCCGCGGTGGCCAAGGCCGTCATACATCTGTTGACGCTGTAGCAAACAGTCTAGCCTGCCGCCGACCCCGCACCACTGTCGCTACCGTTCCCATCGCCAAATCGACGCGTCACGATCCGCCACCTAACGGCTTGCCTCACGCCACTCGCCGCCGTGATGCAGTGAGCAGCAGACGTGACGTCACGCGTCACGTCACGGACCGTCACGCGACTCGTCACGGACCGTTGCGTGTCACGGAGGACGTCGGGAACGCCGGGGGCCGAGCGCACGCCGTGAGAGTTTGGGTGAATTCGGCGGACCGACTGTGCACAAGGTCAGGGTATTAGTCGGTCAAGTCTGGCGGCTGTGGCCACCAACCGTCAATGATTGTTTCAATGCCTGTGTTTATCCACCATTTAGGCATGATTATTGCTAACGGCGTGCCATGCACGCGAGCAAGCATTCAGGAATTGGGCAAATGCAACTCACCGTAATCATTTCAAGTAGACAGCGTTATGTTATGCGTTCAGCGCCGCAGTTATGGCTCCTTAGGTAGTGTTTACCACTACACTTCAAATGAAGAAATCACACACTCGGGAGAAAATGCAAATCACTAACCATAGTAGCTTCTATCCATGCAAACCTTCGCCACACACAAATAAGGTAGTGTTTCTCATTAGGTACACAGTGAATGGAAAGAACACGCCTTCTAGCGAGCCTATTAAAGAGGAATCGAACGGACGCAGCTGTTCCTTGCAGGCACCTAAGTCCAAAGTTTGTGATATTTGACATCTTGATGGCATTATCAGGCCTTTGCGAAGGCGTGAGAGAAAACTGGATTCGTTAATTTCTAATGCAGGAGCTATTTGGCCTGATGCGAGCTCAGCAAATGCCCAACAAAAAACAACTTTATTAACAAAACAAGGCTGACGCATACCATAACTGGTGCCTCACAGCCAAACAAGGTAACGTAAAATTAAAAAAAAAATCAAGAACCAATGTTCGTGCACGAGAACAAGTTGACCAACTATTAAACCAGTCCGTTTGATCGCAGGTCAACAAAATATCCCATATCGACGGCAAACGACTCTTCTGCACGAAATTCAAGATCAATATGATTGATGTCTTATTTTGCAAGGGATGGTCTAAGGCGATTGTGACCATCATTCTTTCTTCCGATCGCTTTTCCAGTTTATGTAGAAAAATATTTTTGTCTGTTTTAGACGACTTTTAACACCAAACATGAGCTAACGGAGAAAAAGAAACAAGCAACTCATGGTGTCAGAAAAAAAAGGAGAGAAAATGAGCCACTATTGTGTTACGGATGAATACCCGTGCCAATGCCTTCAATTTGGACATGCCGCAACAGTTCTTTCATATCACGAAATGTGGTGCTTGAGCGGCATTGACGCCAAAGGCCTCATTAGCTGCTGAATGGAGCGGCTTCGTACCACATCTGTTCCCGATGCACAGCAATGCTTCATGTCTCGAATTAATGGAAGGCTTGCATAGACATAATGACGCAAGCTCAGGTTGAATTGCACCAATATCAGTTCGTCCGAAAACACCGTTTGCTGCTATGCAGCTTTGAGCTGAGAATTTCGACAAAAATGAAGAGTTTTGGCAGCATTGTACCCGGTAGGGTCGTGTTGTTAGGACGATAGTTATACAACTAAAACTCAAATAAGACCCAATTGCGATAATAAATAAATAGGTACCAGTAACACACACATTTTATATAAACTGTAAGCATCATTCTATCTCGAACTATTATTCGATAACAAAATTCACTTTTTATTAATAGCAGGTTGACGTTGTCCGGCGGGTAACATGTGCAACATCAATGCTAAATTTTGCACACTCCGATCAATGTTGTCAACAATGCTTCCGCCGCTACATACCGTTAGCCGCTTTCCGTCACAAATTCAACCATCGCCGCTAAGCGGGCCTTAGTAAGCGGCTTCGAATAGCTACTCTGGATGCTTTGCATAATCGACAGTTGTATCTAACACTGTTTACTATGCAGCTGTATGAGGAAACCGCATGAGGAACAGGAAGCAAAACTTACCGATCAAACACCAACCGATCAAACCAGTCCCCCGTGAGGAAATTGACGGTACCCACCATCGAGCACCATCCATTCAGTCCGTAAGAAGCCGAGACTGTGTCCCAATTGGCGACACAGAGCCGAGTGAGATGGAGCGGCGGCAACGACAGCCGAAAGGGTGCGTGGCTCGCACAATTAACTGTCTGAATTGACAGGGTTTTCCAGCGGCTGCGACGGTGAAAGGCGCGCCATTGTTTATCATCCGCCAGTGTCAAGGTCTGAGAGGGTCTGTCGGAGACGACCCACGGCTGCGCTCTGCCGGGCGCTCCTCGAGGGGCGTTCACCCCAGGCGGAGCGTCTGTCGGGGACGGACGGCTGTCGCAGCTCGTGCCGTTACGTCACCGGCCGCGCCGGCAGAGGCGGCCGGGCGTCAGAGGTGCCGCCGTGCCGTGTGCCAGTCACGGCCGGCGACACGGCAGGTCAGCCCTCTCTCTCAGCGCCGCACCTACCTATAAAACCGCCGGCTCGCCGGACAGCGGCACACAGCAGCCAGCGGCCCCCACCGGAGCCACACGACGACCACAGCATGACGCCCATCAGGGTAAGATAGCGAGCACAAACGTGCATCGTGGAGATAGGGTACAAACTACAAACACCGTAATTTCTCAGAGCTTCAACAATTTTAATCCCACTTCAGCTTTATAAGTTGCTGTAGCAGATACAAAATGTCTTCACATGCATGTATTGTTTTCAATTTTCACATTTTCGCACAATAGATCTTGCATTTTCACCAAAGACAGCACAGCCTCTTCAAATATCCTCCACGCACCACTCAGAGATAACATAAGTAATCCGTGGCTGTTAAGCATACCTTAAAACAATTACAAAAAAAAACTTGCCCGAATAAATGAGTGGGTGGCTTTGGGCCCGAGTGCACGCAAAACAGTGCTTGTTGCGCTTCACGCAAAGCTATTCAATTCGTAGCCTTCGGACAAGAAGGACAGAGTCAATACCTGCCGTTGGATACATTTAAAAAATAACTTTTAAGTTTTAACGCCACAAAATGGTTAGTTCCAAACCACATCACACGATAATCATTCAAGACGCCACAATTATTATCATTCAAATACGTAGGCAACCTTAAAAGTTAAAACCACAGTCTACCAAATCTTCGCTAATGGAAACGCTTTCCTTATCTCATTTACCTATTATTTTCAGGTGATATTCCTAGTGATGTTCGCCGGGCTCTGCCTGGCTGACGGAGGAGGAGGCGGAGGCGGAGGACACGGAGGGGGAGGAGGGTTCGGTGGCGGTGGAGGCGGCGGAGGAGGATACAGCGGCGGCGGAGGAGGTGGCTACAGCAGCGGTGGAGGAAGCAGCGGTGGTGGCTACAGCAGCGGTGGCGGTGGAAGCGGCGGCGGTGGCTACAGCAGCGGTGGAAGCAGCGGAGGTGGCTACAGCAGCGGTGGAAGCAGCGGCGGAGGTGGCTACAGCAGCGGTGGAAGCAGCGGCGGAGGTGGCTACAGCGGTGGCGGTGGAAGCAGCGGTGGCGGCTACAGCAGCGGTGGAAGCAGCGGCGGAGGTGGCTATAGCAGCGGTGGCGGTGGAAGCAGCGGTGGCGGCTACAGTGGTGGAGGAAGCAGCGGCGGAGGAGGAGGATACAGCAGCGGTGGAAGCAGCGGAGGTGGCTACAGCAGCGGTGGAAGCAGCGGCGGAGGTGGCTACAGCAGCGGTGGAAGCAGCGGCGGAGGTGGCTACAGCGGTGGCGGTGGAAGCAGCGGTGGCGGCTACAGCAGCGGCGGTGGAGGAACCAGCGGTGGTGGCTACAGCAGCGGTGGCGGTGGAAGCAGCGGTGGCGGCTACAGCGGTGGGGGAAGCAGCGGCGGAGGTGGCTACAGCAGCGGTGGAAGCAGCGGCGGTGGCTTCAGTGGTGGAGGAAGCAGCGGTGGCGGCTACAGCAGCGGCGGTGGAGGAAGCAGCGGTGGCGGCTACAGCAGTGGAGGAAGCAGCGGCGGAGGTGGCTACAGCAGCGGTGGAAGCAGCGGCGGTGGCTACAGTGGTGGCGGAGGAAGCAGCAGTGGCGGCTACAGCAGTGGAGGAAGCAGCGGCGGAGGTGGCTACAGCAGCGGTGGCGGTGGAAGCAGCGGATGTGGCTACAGCGGTGGAGGAAGCAGCGGTGGTGGCTACAGCGGCGGAGGAAGTAGCGGCAGAGGAGGTGGCGGCTACAGCAGTGGTGGAGGAAGCAGCGGTGGCTACAGCGGTGGGGGAAGCAGCGGTGGTGGCTACAGTGGTGGCGGAGGAAGCAGCGGTGGAAGCGGCGGTGGTGGCTACAGCGGCGGCGGAGGAAGCAGCGGAGGAGGTGGCTACAGCAGCGGTGGAGGAAGCAGCAGTGGTGGCTACAGCAGCGGTGGAAGCAGCGGTGGTGGCTACAGCGGCGGAGGAAGCAGCGGCAGAGGAGGATACAGCAGCGGCGGAGGAAGCAGCGGCGGCGGCGGCTACAGCAGCGGCGGAGGAGGTGGCGGCGGTGGCGGCTACAGCGGTGGAGGAAGCAGCGGCGGAGGCGCATCTTCCAGCTATGGCTCTGTCCCTGCGTCTAGCGGAACGGGCAAATATCCGCCGGCAAAGCCGTCCTCCAGCTACGGCTCGCCGAGCAGCAGTGGCGGCTACAGCGGCTGAGTCTCCGGTGACACTGTACCCCCGCCATCGCAATATTGTTCAGCCAGTGATTTGATAACTTTATCTCAGTGGATTTGTTCTGATATTGTTTATTTATAGTGTGTACGATGCGTAGAAATGTCTTATGAAAAAAATACAGAGGCCTCTTGCACCAAACTACCTAGCTAGGTAAAATCGAAAAACCGGTTTCAGAATAAGCTAATCTAACGGTGGTAAATTTGTTTGCAATAGCCCAATACATAATCCTACATGTGCTTGCAAAATTTGGCATGCAAATTGTTACATTTGAGACTTGGACTGGGTATACGATGCAAAATAATCCAAGCATTGGTGCAAGAGGATTTTGGTGCAAGAGGCCTCAGATCCATCTTTTCTCGTTTCGGCCTTACCACAATCAGCGTAGAAGGTCGAGTTATAGACGGTCACGGCCAGCACAGACGTGTGGAGAAAACTTCACTCGTCTCGTCTAGACGCTGTTGTTGAGAAATGTTGTGTGATTGTGATTGTTGTGTGAGAAACCAAAGTTTGCTTACTTTCTGTAGTGTTTCCGACAAAAGTCCGAGTTGGTCTAGTCTTCAATTTCCATTCCAACGGCACCAACACCACACACGGACCCGTCCTCTCGCCTGCCCCTCTCTGCCTGACAGCCGCCTCTCACCCCGTCCACACATGGCCAGCAGGCGGCTTCCGCCCATTAACAACGTCGCCCTACTTCCGTCCCTCCACGTGTCTCTGTCGCTAACGAAACAGTACTAATTCAGGCCCACTCGCTGTCGCCGACGCACAACTAAGCTACATTGACACATTCGAAACACACTGATGTAGAGCAAGCTATAGATAAAGCAAGCATTGTTTATGCTTCCCACTATCACTATACCACGGTGACTATAAATACGAGCACTATACGAGCACGTATAGGCAATGCATATTATATGTTTTGGTCTCGTGTCATAAGGGGGGTTCTGCCCACAATTCGCGGGGGTGTAGCTCAGTGGTAGAGCGCTCGCTTTGCATCATGCATGTGAGAAGCCCCGGGTTCAAACCCCGGTACCTCGAATCTCTTACCGCGCCGTGAGGCTCCTCTGACAAATGGTGAACAAGTCTTGTGATCTTTCCTACATCGCACTGTATAGATCACGTATTTCGCCACCCGCCTCCCTTTCATTTTGTTGAAATAAAGAAGCTACAGATGCGGTACCGGATACCAAGTTAAAGCTCTCGAGAAGAAAGTTTTGACCTCAGGTCAAAGCAAAAGGTCTGGGGTCAAATGTCATGTTTTCCATACACATTTTGTATATGCAGAATGTTGTAGTAATGGCTATAATGGGGTAAGTATCATCGCCCACAGCAGCTTTTTAATAAATGTCTTATCCACGGTGAAAGTTTTCGAACATTTTATTATCATAGATAACCGAGTTTCTTGATAAACATATCCATATCCATCTAATTATTGGATAATCACTGGATATATGAAACAGGAAATAAGCGGTTTCTGGGCTCCCGATGCCAGCATAATGAGGGCGGTGCTGGAGGGCAGTGTGCTGCCGCCTGCCGCTGCCATAAAATCTAATACACCAGTATAACACCTTTTGGGGCGACTAACGGAGCGAGCGAGAGGGTGGGCCTTGCACGTGCGAAATTGCGAGGGGGTACCTCCAACTGACTTGTGCACGGCACCCTCCTAACCGGTCTCTAGCGATGTGCCAAATTTGAGCACAATCGGCCCAGCCGTTCTCGAGATCTGGAAGCGGCACCCTGCACGTGCGCACGTGCAAAATGGGTCCCAACTGACTTGTGCACGGCACCCTACTTACCGGTCCCTAACTGCGTACCAAATTTGAGCGCAATCGGTCCAGCCGTTCTCGAGATCTGGAATCGATCCCTGCACGTGCGCACGTGCAGCAGCACCTCAACTGTGGCACATGGATATGCATTGCTTAGTGGGTGCCTACCTACATACCAACTTCCAGCGCAATCGGCCAAGTAGTTACCGAGAAATTGCAACTATTACAAGTGCCACACCTCTTCGTTTTGCACGTGGCACGTGCATAAGGGGTCGCCCACATGCATCGGTAATAGCCCAATACTTGGTAGAAGGAATGAAGCTACCCTACAAAAATTACCGCATGTAAATCGGTCAAGTGGTTGCTGAGATATACAAAAGCGTCCGCACAGCCGGCCGGCTGGCCGCCATACTCAGAAATTTCCGATCTAAGGAAAGACTCCGCTCGCTTCGCTCGCTCCGTAAACAGAACACAGATATATGTAGATACCTTCCACCGCATTCTATTTTTCAGGTAGATCGGTCGGCCGCCCATACAACGGCATCTTTTCATCGTTATCAATGACATCTGTGAAACTCGCTTTTCTCCAGCCATCTATTCTCTGTCCAGCCATAACTTCACACGGGTGTTCTAAACAGTTTCTCCGCGGCGGCCAAACTGATTTTGTGACACCCCCGTTCGGGGCGCGTCGGGCGCCGACACAGAGCACAAACCCGGCGGGCCGCGACGTTCATCTCAAATGAATTGGCCCTCGGCCCGTCCCAACCCTGTTATCTAAATCGAGTGAGGAGTGAAAAGATGAGAGTCTCCGTCCCCTAAGTCATCGCGGTCCATCCATCAGGCCAGAGCCGAGCTCGCACCGCCGCCGCCTTTATCGCCGCGGGCCGGGCCGGCCTTCTCCCTGGCTGCGACGGCCTCCCCCGCTTCCGGCCCCGCCCAGATGGTCCTCCGCCGGCGCTGATTGGTTGTTGGGGCCGACCCCGGGAGCAGGCCCCGCCCCGGGCGGTACGGCCGACGCCGACTGGTCCGCTGTTGGGCAGAGGACATTGGAGGTGTCCGGGCTGCTCGGTCTGACGGGAAGAGAGCAGTATTGGAGGGCGGGCACCCGCTGCCGCAGTGGCACCTGAGCCGGAATACGTCACAGCCGGCGCACCAGGCAAAGCTTCATGAGGTGAGGTGCTGGGGCGGGGGATGGGTTGATGGCGTTGACAATGATGGATGAGATCAGTCAGTTAACCTAGCAAACATATTGTAAAGCCTTTGAAAACCGATATCAAGTGCAGCTGTGTCTGTAATAGCAGTGTGTGCAATCACTGTCATGTAGCACATGTTCAGTGAATATAATACCCTGACGATGATGTCTGACTTAGACGATGACATCTCCTCGCTTTCCGTCCTTTTCTAAGGGTGGAAAGGCAGCGACCACCAGTATTTTCTTCCCATGCGCCAGCATATACCGCGTCATGTTCAAAATGGGATGAAAACTGGATCTAACGAGGCGGGGAATGTTCTCCTCCTTTAGATGTACGGTCGCCAATGCAACGGACTGGTCAGTAATCGCAAAATAAGAGCTGTTTTCGGAATGTTTTTGGAGATGTTGCACGTGGTCATTAAAGGCAAAAATACAACAAACTACGTCGACCTGCAGCCGAAAAAAAACGATGGCGCTGACGCTTGAACTCATCTCTAACTGGCTTAGTAAACGTGAATCTCTTGGGTAATTGAACAACACCAGGCTCGGGAATTCCTCGGGATCGGTTAAAATCAGGCAGTTCATTGGCTGAAATTTTGCAAGCTCCTCCTCGGTCCTCCACTCCTTGAAATGCAATGCTTATTGAACAGCAGACAAGACGCTAGCCTCTAGTGACGCATCGCTGTCTCTGGTGTATTGCGGTGCAGCGTGCCGCCCGGCGCAGCGGCCGCCTGCGCCGGTAGACTAGCCCGCAAGGCAGCGAACGGCTGCTGAGCGGCATACACGATTTCATGACGATTGAAAAGGATACTAAAAAAAAAAAAACTGAGAGGAATCTTTGCAATGAGTGCAGAAGACGGATAGATACTCGTAGAGGCACAATGCACATGACTAATTGGGAAAACAAGATTGTGGACGGATGGATGGACGGACAACGGACTCCTTTGCGATTTCAGGATGAAACCACCGGGCAAGTTTTGTGATCCGTTAGTTTCTCGAAATTACGACTGCGAAACTTGCAGGGGAGTTCATGACATGTGTTTGTGTTATCATGAAAACGGTTTCGTGTTATCATGCATGTGTTTAGCTCCATGCTAGCTTAACAGTATAAAGTTTTCGGAACTGTTCTTTTCTGCTTCATTCAAAATCAGCATAATGAACTCTGATCGAAAGACAGAGTGACAAAAGTGACCTACATATCCCTGACCGGATAAAAGGACAAATCTCGGTGATCTAAGATTCCAGACATGCTCTTGTAGGGTAAAAGGATGACATTTGATGAGATAGGTCATGAATGAATACGGGATATCTAAATCTGTGTTACTTCTTACTTTATTAGTTTGAAGTCCATCCGTCCTCTGAACCCTTAACTCCACACATTTTAATGCCTATGTCCGATGTTAATGTAAGCAAATTGGCGAATAAATTCTGTTTGCATTTCAAATACTCTGGAAAGATTAAACCAATTCAACACAATACTGATGTGGATAATCACAAAATCAACAACAGACCATTTGTAGGAAGTATCATTAGAATATATGACCTTCTCCTCGGAAAATGACCAAATGAATGAAAATGATTACTTATTGATGAATTGATTTTCACTCGCTACTTTTGCCTTGTACGATTTCACGAATTCGATTTAGACGAAGGTCTGTGACCGAAATATCATCAATTCATCAATAAATAATCATTTTCATTCATTTGGTCATTTTCCGAGGAGGTCATATATTCTAATGATACTTCCTACATTTATCATGCTCCTCGCAACAGCTCTCAACGATATACGAAACAGACCATTTGCCTCTCCCATTCTTTGACACGTGCCTCTGACTCTGCCGAACAAAGAATAAAAACTCCCAACTCGCCAGTTCAACGATATTTCATAATTGGATCAACAGCATCACATTTTTACTGTTCACAGCTATCTCCTATCGCATCGCAAAACACTCGGCCGCGGTAATTGGGTCTATATCGGAGATGTGCGTGCGGCGGGGTCGCTCGGCCGCCCGCTCGGTCGGTCGGTCGGCGCTCTGCCGCGCTCCCCCGAGAGCTGTTCTTTGGTTGGAGCTCTTTCATCATAACCTCATTAAGTCGGCGCCACCCCTTCGGCCGCATGATGCGGGGATTGACTCGGCTAATCGGACCGCCGGGATCTGCGAACAGTAATTGGACCGACGCGGGGTGATGGTCCGGAGAGGAGAGACGGAGAGGAGAGAGTGGAAGGGAGGGGAGGAAGGAAAGCAAGAGTGGACACCGCGGTATGGAGTGGAGAACGGAAGGCCGCTGTAGTGGAGAGCAAACTAAAGTGAACGATTAGGGAATAGTGAGAAACAAGTAGCAGGAGGAGGAGAGCAGCCTAATTACCAAATATGTAGTGTATTGTCCATTAAAAAACAATGTTTAATTTTCTAAGCTCCTTAACATATCCATCCATTGAAAAGCTATTGAGCTACAACCTACAAACATATGCACACCTTGCGTAAGCTACCTTAACTCCTGCACATTATTCACACATCTCATTGACAGATAAAGATAGACGATATGCGGGCCTAAATAACTAGAGTCAAAATAAGCTGATCTCGGGAAGACTCCCAATGTGTATTAAGAGCAGCCTATTGCGCCAAACCAGTGCAGTTAAAAACTGGATGGCTTTATTTGTAACCAACACTTATTCCATACTAACAGGGAACCAAGATGCGTGCTGAACTACGGACATGAGGTCCGGCCCAGTCCGGAGTGTGCTGTGCGTATGAAACACTTTTCGTCAGGGCAGGGCGCCGGCCAGAGCGGACCCGAACCCGGACCCTTGGGAGACCGGTGCGGCGGTACTCGGCCGGAACGAGTCGAGGTGTGGGACCGTGCGGGGAACTCTTTATGAAAGGGGGTGGAAATGAGGAACGAAAAGGAGCTGAATGTGACAGAGAAGGACATTGTTTTCAGAACACGGGATAGAGCAGGGACAAAAGACAGTTATGTGACAGGTAAAAAATAGAACTAAAATTGTTATTGTCAAATAAGGATATTTGAAACATAATTGAAGATGCAAGACCTTAACCCTCGCCCGCACATGGGGGGGTGGTTGCCACCCCCCCAGGCAGTCTTTCTGCTCTGCACTCAACATTTTTAGAGCTAGAAGGCTGATTTTTCGTATAGCTGCTCGTCTATCTTTTCTTGATGTCCACTGAAAATTTCAAGTTTCTGTGATTTTTGGTTTCGGAGATATGACCTTGTTTTTCAGGTCATGTCATGACCCAAATGGCCAATTCTCAACATCTTGCGTTTGCCATGGGCCTTGTGAGCTTTTGACACCCTGATTTCGGCCTTTTTTGCCAGTCTTACCTCCCACCTATCAAAGAACATGTTGTTCGACGATGTACAGGGGTCAAGGTCAGGGTCAAGGTCAACCTAGGTCATCTAAGATAATTGCGTTTTAGGCAAGCTGAATTTACTTTTTGTGAAGTTTTTTGACTGCATTTTTGGTAAAAGCTTCTCAGATCATGATTTCATGTGATATGGACCCAAAAACAATCGGTGCACACATCAGTATACACACAGACACACACAGACATACAAACACATATAATTGACCTTGACCTAACTTGACCTGAAATGACCTCAGCAGCAAAATTCTGGTCGGATAGTGTGACAAAGAGGTTCTAGCTGGCTTGGCACCAGAAAACAGCATCGTCATCGGTATTTGATAAGCAGCGCACTTGATATCCAACGGTGACCCAAAACAGCAACATTTTTTAGTTTGACCTGACCTGGAAGGTCAATGACTGACCTGAGAAGGTAAAACTGGGTATCATTGGATTCGTCTCTTCCCAAAGAATCTTTTTGGTCTTTACTGCTAAGCTCTATCTCCAACAGGAACGAAATGGCGCGGGGGGGGTGGCAACCACCCCCCCCCCCATGTGCGTTCTAGGATGGGAAAATGGCATGTGCGGGCGAGGGTTAATGGGCTGGAGGCGGCCGGACTAGGATGGATCAGACGGCGATTAAAAAGCGGCACCACAGCTTACGAACGGAAAAGAGATTAGTTTGAAAAGCACAGGTGCAAGATAGTCTAAGAACTTCAGGTCCCAATAAGCTATTAGCAAGAGGTAAAGATGGAAGTGAAAATAAAAAGAAAATAAAGAAAAATCGATAGAGAAAAGGTAAAAGAAAAAGATATAGAACTAGAAAAAGATAGTGTAAAGACCATGAGCAATAGACACAAGCCGCGGGGGAGGGGAGGGGGGGGGGTGAGAGCCGGAGGCGGTGGCCCGCGAGGACCACCGCTCGGCGGCAGGCCCATCGGTCAGCCGGCTAACAGGTGATCTGTCAGGGATCTCGCCGCCGCCGCCGCCGGGCCACTGTTGCTATCACGGCCCTGGGGTCTGCGGCCGATGCAGATCACTCTAGGGACGACACCGCGGGCACCCAGCCGTGGAAACGAGGCCGCACAGCGGAGACGTGGAAGGAGAGAGGGACGGAAAAGATACCGCAACAAAAATACTGCACTTGTGTCAAAGGACAAGTCTAGACGCGTCTCAACTAAATAAGCATAATTGCCCAGCTTGGTGTAAATAAAGCTGGCAGAGGAGCTCAGGAAATGAGCTTAGGCAAATCAGCTTAGGTTTAATGAGAACAGCTGCGACAATGATAATGGTTAACCGACATTCAGATGCTTGGGGAAAACAACCTATAACAGCCTTATAATTAGTAACTCAAATAGAATTAAAAACATTTTCAAAGGCAAAGTTGGTCAAAATATATTAATTGCTTTGTTCTCACTTAGAGTTCCCACTAAATATACGATTCGTGTTCTGCTTATTCTCTTTGACAATCAGCACAACATAAAGCACTCCTTCCTAATGCGTCAGGACTAATGCATGTAGCTCTGGAAGAGTCGTACATTAGCTGATTGACCACTCAAGTCCCTGATATGCCCACATGATGGAGGATCTGACCACAACACATTACATGACCAGAGGCGGGGGCAGAATGAGGCGATACCGCACAATGCCTGTTGTCATTACGGAAATTAGTATAACAGCCGCCCGTGAACGATAGGCGGTTAACGGCGAAACTTGAAGACAACAAGCTCAGAAGCTTGCATGAACTAACTATCGCGGGAAAGACGCGAATAATCTAGAGACGCAGAGACGGTATTCAACAAAATACAGTGTCGATGTCCAAAGAAGCTCAAGTTTTCTAAGCAATGTGTGGCTGCAATGACATGCCTTGGCCATTAACTAACAGGAACCATTTCGACCTAAAAGTTGATGAAGTCACCGCCGCGGTCGGAGCCATTCCGCTCCACTGAACACCATACGATGATATGCGGTTATTCGCGTGTGTATATTCTGCGCTCGGTGACTCGGAGCCGGGGCCGGCGCGCGGGTCGCTCGGCGCTCTGATTATGTAGAGGACCGGTCGGCGCAATTCATCATAGCTGTCGACACTGTCGGCCAAATGAAACGGAAGCCACCGCACACAAACGAGATGGATCGCCATGAATAATGCAGTACTTTCCAGGCCTGCTAAACATGATTTTCGTTTTGGCGAATTGAAACAGAAAGCCAGGCGGCCGGCGTGCGATGGCGCTGTGGCTTTTGTTCTCGGCCGGCGAAGTTCCTGTGGTGTGTAAATGAGACGAATGAAATTAATACTTTCGCCAGAGGCTAATGTCTTTAAATATTTCCGAATGAGATAGGCTGTATAGAGTTAGCTGTGGAAGAACATCAAAGACAGAATTATGCCTTGAACAAAGTTGAGACGCTAGCAGGAAGTTGGAGGGATTTTCCGCCAAATCAAATATTATAATGTATCTCCATTCTCTATTCATCGGAGATAGCCCCATGTGTCAAAAGCGCCACAGCTGTGAGCTACACTCAAAGTTAACCTTCTAGCTTAATGAAATACCACCGACGTCCCTAACGCTGACGTCCCTTGAAATCATAATTACTGACGCCGTGTCTGCTCTGTATAAAAAGGAGTTCGGTAACCACCAATCCCATTTGACACTGAAGCTGACGCAAATGTCCCGCTCTTCTCCCTCAGGATGGAGCCGTACCCCAGCTCGGGCTCGGTACTCAGTATCGCCGACCTGATCCGGCCATCTCCGGCCCGCGGCGGCGGCCTCTGCCCCTCCGGACCCGCTGGAGGAGTCTGTCCGGAGCCGAGCGAGGCCCGGGTGCCGGCGCTGCCCGCCGAACAGCTCACACCACAGCCCGACCCACACCTGGAGCAGTTCTCATCAGCGGCCCGCTCCAAGGGGTACCGGCTCGAGCGGCACCTCGACGAGCTGGCAGAGCGGCGCGACGAGCGAGCCGAGTCGAGGGCTCGCGTCGAGCCGGGCGAGCGGGCCACCAGAGACGTCCCGGATAACCACGACAGTGGGAATGGAGCCCCGACCCGCGAGCCGGCGCTGCGAGAGGCTGATGAGAACCGCGCCCTGCCCGGCTTCCGACTCAAAGCATCCGGCAAGAAGGCCCGCGTCGGCAAAGTGATGCGGCTGAACGTGAACGCCCGCGAGCGGCGCTGCATGCACGACCTCAACGACGCGCTGGACGAGCTGCGCTCCGTCATCCCGTACGCGCACTCGCCCTCTGTGCGCAAACTGAGCAAGATCGCCACCCTGCTGCTGGGCAAAAACTACATCATGATGCAGGGGAACGCTATCGAGGAGCTGCGCAGGATAATCGCCTACCTCAGCCACCTGACGGGGATCCACGTGCCGACGCCGGCGATGGCGGCGTACGACTCTCTCAATCTGCAGGGAAACCTGCAGCCGCGCGTCGGCCTCTTACCGGCGCTGGGCGAGGACGTGAGGCCAGAGTTCAGCATGTCACCGTCGCCGCAGGGCCTCAGCGACTGAGCCAGCTGTGGCTCAGTGATTGAGCCGCCTGTGGCTCGGCGGCCGAGACGGCGGTGGCTCAGCGACTGACTCGGCTGTGCGCCGCGGGGGCCCTCCGGTTTAGCAACTGAAACTGAGCCGGCAGCCGGTGGCAGAGACCGAGACTGAGACGGGGTCTTTGTTGGACACGCGGCGGAGAAAGCTGTCCCTGGTGTGGGAGTCTGTCCCGCCCGCGGTACGTGGAATGGTATCTGCGTGTGTGAATATAAAATTGTCAAATGAAAAGAGCTGGCGACAAACGCCAGACTGCGTGCGGCTTGTGAGTGGAAATTAGCACAATAATTGTCAGAGCCACTGATTAGGTGTTGGAACAATCGACTTTGTTGTCTTGCAGCAATCTGACATTCTTGTTGCTAAAATCCAGGCTGAACGATTGCTCGGATACAGACAACTGGATACGTGATGATTTATTGAAACTATTAGTGATTGCGAGTATGGGAGCTCGAGTGAGTGTGTGTCGCTTCCGTGAATGGTGAACGCTGCACTGTAATATATTAATTTGTGAATGGTGATAGCGTTCCCTCACCCGCTGATCATCAGTGGTTTAATTCATGAAGATGTGTTACTGACGACGAGTGTGCCAATTAACTTTGGATGGTGGCCTGGTTTTCTTCACATCTGCATCACTCATTTACTACGAGTTTTTTTCTACATGTATGCATGTATATTCACCTTCGTAAATTTACGCCGTTATTGCTTGCGGTGCAGTATACCTTCAGGCGCAAACTGTAGTGACATCTTGCGGCAGCGTTACAACATAGGCTGGGAGATGTGCGGTACAGCATAACTTCAGGCGCATACTGTAGTGGCATCTAGCGGCAGCTATGCAACTTGATACACGTGAAATTCGGTACATCGTAAGCTCGCTCTCACACAGCACACGCTCTCTCAGCGGCGCGCACTCAGAGGCATACAGACACTCTCCCCCCCCCCCCCCCCCAGGGCCTCGCCGGTCCACCGTCCACCGGCAAAGTTTCAGGAAATTTTCGTCGCTACACCGTCACCTGACTTGAAGAACCGACCACACACTGCACACACAGCGCAGTCCGCATCAGAAGTTTCATCTCAGTCCTCGTTTTATGGCGGCTAATAAAAGCGTTACATTTCAGCACCGTGACATAAGGAGCACGCAGTAATGGGAACGATGATGTGGGACACGCTCCAATTAGAATAATGAGTCCCACGATTGCCGTTTACGGTTAACAGCGGAAACGGTAGATTCGCTCGCCTCCGAGTTCTTGACACCGCTCAGGAAATACGTGAGCTGAAACAATACGGCTCAGCAATACTTTGTGCATACTTTGTGTGCAAAGTATGCAGCCATAAACAATATTTCAATCGCATAAATTGTAGTTTCCCTTCGAATACTGATGGAAGAAAACCGTCCATGTTCGCATTCGTAAAACAGTAGATACCTAAAAGGTAGAACTAAACGAGGCATACAGGTTATCAACGGTACTCGGCATATATTCCACAAAAGGCGACGAGAAGACTCAAGACATATTGTTGGCATCGAATGAGAAGACAAAAGTTTCCACGTACGATCACAAGAATTCACTATTTGGGTAGTTCAAACGAAAAACGGAATCCTTTGGAGGAGATTCACATAAATATCATATAACAGTCAGTCGAAAATAAACCAAAGATGCCTGAGAAATGAAACTAGAGAATTTGAAAGCTATGGTTCCTAGAAGTGCGTTGTGATGTTTGATTACAAATACGAACAATGGTAAGGGCGAATTATTCTAAATATATTCAGAAAAATGCTAACGAGTGGGGAACTCCACTGAATATCTACGGCGACTGCCCAATGTCCATCACCGCACGAAATGAAATAATGTAAATGAACCCCGCCATCTGACCAGCATTCCCCGAACAGCTCCGGTCATTTCTCTATCGGAGCGGCGGGCGGTGCGGCGCGGCACCATCCGCTGAAGGACCTCCCCAGTGACCGGGGCGGCGGACCCGATCCCCGGCCTCTGCGCTGACCGGACCGGACCCGATCCCCGGCCTCTGCGCTGACCGGACCGGACCCGATCCCCGGCCTCTCCGCCGTCCAATCGAGTGTGAAACTGCCGGCCGGGGCCTGCATCATGCCGCCGGACAGTGACGGAGCTGAGCTGTTTGTACGCGGCTCGGCGCCGTGTCGGTATATCAGGACGGTCGGCTAAACCCCCTGGGAGAGCGGCCGAGGCCGCCGGCTGTGACCGGAGACACGCCGGGACGGGACGGGACGGGCCGTCAGCGGTCCCCCGGCGCCGCCGGCGGATTTGCACGCGGCCAATAACACGGTCCGCTGGTAAACAATGATTGCGTGCGGCGGCACCTGAGGCGGCGCCACGCAGACTGACCCGACCCTCCCCCCGGTACCCCCCCCCCCCCCCCCAACGCGAGGTGTAGCGGGAGGCGCCGGGTAGGGAAACGACCGACGCCCTCCGTAATGTTCTCCGTGGCTGAGATTTTTGCACATTGGTCCCTCTACCACTGCATCTTATTCCTGCGTAACAGCGCGCCGCAGTCAAGTTCAATCATACTTTATGAAATACCTGACACAAGCTTTTCAGTATCTATTTGGACCACAAAACATTATAGGCTTTCGAACCACGCCAGACAAAACATCCGCTTAGCTGAAATCAGTTTTCTCCCCTCGCTAAAGCACGTAGGAGGACGCTACTAAATTCTGACAATGTCGCGTCGATCCCACGTCTAATGCAAATGGATGGCGCTGGCGTCCTCGCCGGTGGCGCGATAAAAAGCGCGCCAAACCGATGCATCGGAGAGAGGCTGGCAGCGCCGAGCACGCGTCGGCTAATCCAGTTAACCTCGGCGAACAGCTACTAAGTGAAACTGATAGCGTGATTCATGGCCGCGCTGTGACTGTGAGCCGCGTCTCGCTGAGCCGGGCCCGTTTGTTTTATCATCACCGATCGGCGGCAGTCAGTCAAGTGGCCCGGAGAGCGCGCCCAGAGACGGGCCGCGCCCGAGAGCCGGGCTGATAAGAAAATGATGACTGAATCACATGATGGCAACAAAGAGTTATGGGTCAATTTGAAATATTGTCTCAAGAGATTTCATAAGAAATATGATGCAGGAAAATGGAAGCAGAGTCACGGTAGCAACATCTATAATGTGGCTTTTTCATCTTTCCTTTTGACAATTTGTGAGGATACGGTTTAACTTTAAGACTATTCTTAGGTACGCGACATAGGAATCCGCCCATCCTTACCGATTAGCGCACAGGGATTTTTAACCACACAGATGAGGCAATGAAAGCGCTATGACTGCGCGGTGCCGACGTACCCTCGTAATAACTGTCACCGAACACCGGTGGCCGGGGACCATCCATTCTGAGCTCCCTGTAATGGGGCTCCTCTCCGGTAACAAGTGTCGCTGCCGCGAGCAGAGCCGCGGGGTGCCCAGGGGGCAGGTGTCCCCCACTGCAGCCCGCCGCGCAGCCACCATATGGCCCCGTCATTTAGGTCGCATTCAGCGCGTATTTGGCCGCGGCTGGGGGCGCCTGAAGAGCGGCCGGGGGGTCCGGTCACCGGGGGCCGGCCCCGGGGCACAATGCCTCCGGGACGACAGATGGTGGCCGCGCCATCTGTTCGCCGCCGAGTAGAGCGCTGCGCCGGATTAGCCGCCCGGTCTGCGGCGGCTGCGGTGCTGACGATCGCGCCCACTCAACCCGCATATGCCGCCGCTCGCCAACCGGTGCGGTGTGCCGAGCTTGTTAGCGAACGGGGAAGGGACAGCGGTTCTGGTTACAGGGCAGAAAGGAGCTAACGGTAGAGGATGCGGTTCAGCAGCGGATTGATATGTTGATCTACCGTTGCTGGTAAAAACGGACATTCACTGAACTCCAATGCCTCTGATACTGGCAACAGTTGCTGTCTTCTTTATGTATTTAAACCGATAGCGATTATCTGCTCTTCGGACAAAATTGGGGCGACGCCGTGGGCCTCTATGTACTATATATTGTCACAGGCGTGGGCCTCTATATTGTAGATAGGCCTGGGCCAGCCCCGAATATATTGCTTTTCGAGGCGGATTCAGCAAACGTCAGTCTGCAAACTGGATATGCGAGTTGACAATGGTTGATGAATGAAGCCCATGACAAGCCCTTACACTCAAACTATCTGCCGGTCTTTTTGCGCTCAACACACATCACAACTTTATCAACCGACCTTGGAAACCAAATCTTCAAGAGGTAGGTAAGCATTGACCTCGATTCTAAAAATCACCAAGTCAGCAAAAAACGCTTCAATTAATAAAATTGCGCGGGTATGACGAAGCGTAACAAAAGTTCCAAGCATCCAATCCGACGTGAGAAGATGTGAGAAGATGACATAAGAATCATCCAATCCGACGTTTCTAGGCCTCATAGCAGACGAAAGCTAGATAAGGGAACTGGGAAGCAAGGACTTTAGGTATGTAGGTACCAGAAGCCAGCCATTTTCACATGAGGTTACCATGAAAAGACAAGCAGAAACAAGTGCCTTAGTGAGACAGAGTAGCCCGCATGCAAAAAAAAAGATCTCAAATTAGAAGACAAATGGTAATTGTGTGAAGATCGGATAAGCACTTCACTACATAAACTGCAAGTGAAGGAATCGTTTTCACCAACTAAGAAAACAAGTTTATTTTAAAACCACCTGTTGTTCCCAATGACGCAAGCAAAAAACGAAATCTTGAAAGCTTGTTATCGCCTGGAGCACCCCAATAACAGCCCTGAATTGGACCTCATTTGGTCTTTTTATTGACAGTTGAAAACCGTTCAGCGGGAGAGCAAACTGTCTGTGTTCGCCGCTCGCCCCGGCCGGTGGCTCCCATTTGTCCCCCGTCGGTCCGGCTCCCCCAAATGGCGGCTCGGGGCGCCCCGGGCACGCGTCGCCGCATTAAAATTCATTGTTGTAATTAAATCCGCCGCTCAGTGGTTTACCGCAGGCGATCGGGGCGCGCCAAAATCCCAGATTTGGCGCCAAAGCCGGCGCCGGGCGATAAAGCGTGTGTAAAGCCGTCGAAACGAGCCGTTTGTAGGCTGATGGGACCATCCATCGGCGCCGGCGGCGGCGTGGCGCCGGCGAGATAGCCAATCGGGAGGAGGCGGCCGCGCGCCGCCTCACTGGCCGAGGAGAGGCGGCTGTCCGCCCGGGGAGGGGTGTGAGGGTGGGGGCGGGGCAGAGAAACGCAGACCGACATCGGAGTGGGTGGGGGCGTGTGGATGGCGAGGTCCCAGACGATGCAATGGAACGAAGCAATGATGTCTTTCTTGAGAGGTGTTTCTCAATAAACATTTAATTGACCTCAACTCATCTTTATAATTTGTGTGCTATGGGTAAGTGAGGTGAAGTTCAGCAGCAATGAAAGTGAACAAACTGTTTAGTGTTCATGTAGTGAATGCATATAAAAGGGAACAATGAAATTCATACAATGTTTATCTTATAAGGAAATTCTTACTAGGACAGAGTTCTCTTCAGCAACGGCGAACAATGAGCGCACGATGGACTGATCACGATGGATTGATCTCTCAGCAGCAAACCCAGTATGTCTCCTCACACAGCCCAAAGCGTGAGTTCTATGTCATCAGTCCGGCTTTCAAT